ACGAATGCGACGTAATGGCTGCAATTGCACACAACACGCTCAAACAGCTGATTTTGGCTTCTTCGTTAATATTATTTATTCTACTGTTGATATTAAGGTGGATTATTGTGCCCGACCCTTTTGATGACGGCTGAGAATAATTAATTAGAACAGAATAGAGCAGAATATTAGTCGAATAGTAGGAATACAGCCGAATAATATTACCAGTAGGAGGGATTAGCTTATTGATTTTTCATTAATGTTTCTTCAATGCGAAAGTGGTGAACGGCAATTAGATTTCGTAGTCAGCCTAGCGAGAGGCGGAGGCTTACAGTGCTTCACTCTCCAGCCCGCCTATTGTGTCCTATTCAGAACGTTTTTCGACTTCATTCCGACACATATGGTATCAGAGGGGGCCCCGAATACATACCATGTGCAAATTTCCGAAACCATTCTTATTGTAAATCAAGCCCTTAAATCAGTGGCTCCCTTGTATATCATATGTGACGCTGTCAGGTAAGGAAACGGCTTAGATTGGACATTACAAAGGCTCAAATTTTGTCCCATGTCTATGCGCTGACGAGTTTCAACACCATTGTAGAGGCTGCACCATTATAAGGTATTTCACGTAGGAAATTCAAACAACTCGTCATGACCCACTGCAACAGTGAAAGGCAATTTGATCAGTTTCGGCCTGATGTAGTCAGCTCCTTAAGAAATCGCCTTGAGTGAAATCTCGTCTAAGCGCCCTTTCCATGTCATTTTGACATAATAGTCACGTACAAACCCTATTTTCACTACTTTTTAAAGCCTTACTTTTAGCAAAATCGGTCTCTCTTCTCTTGTTTGCTTCACCACCAACGCACCATTTCCAACCATTACTTCCGCTTTTCGACCTAGAAACAGTACCTCGAAATTATCATTAACTGTGCCTTCAGCCGCGCTACATCTTTAGATTCGTGACATCTTCTGTGCTTAGCATCTGAAACTCTATGCTGGAGTGGTACAAGAGGGTTCATCTATAAAACTTTTGCCTTCTGTCACCCTCAATCAGCCTCTATCAATTGTATCCAATCACACTCTATCGACCACATATCACACTCACATAACAAACGGAAAACCAAAGTTTTGCATTATCAAACTCGCTTCCAACCTTTCCCATTTGAACTCGCTTTCTGTTATCAATCTTCATTTTTACTGCCCCATCTAACCGATCGTGGAACTCTTGCTGAGTAAGATCGCTTATCGGGGGTGAAAATGCAGTGGGGGGGGGGGGGCCAATCACAATGTTAGTATAACAAGGAG